TGTATTTTGTAGGAAATTTCATGATCTTTCATTTTCACATTTGGTAAAATTTAGCAGAATGTATAGTTTCCGAGTTATAAGCAAGAAACTGAAAAAAGTGCGAAAATTTTCATATTTTTTACGTCTAGCTCAAAACGCACAAGGAATTTTTGTTGGATCTCTTCAGATTTGGATTCAGCGCCCCAAAAAACATAAAGTTAAGAAAAAAACTCGTAAGAGTTATTTTTTGTAACGTTCAACTACCATTTGACTGGACTACAGGTAAAGTAATTGAAAGTTACCTTCAGCATTTTTAACATATGAACTTATGATATTGTGCCATGTATGTTGTTCCTGTTTTGCTCAATGAATATTTTATTTTAAACCTAAGGCTTCCGAATTTAAGAGATTTCTTAGAATTGAATGTGTCAACAACAGTGATCAAAGTTTGACAGTTATATAAGAAATCTCTGAAAGCTCATTAGAAAAAAAAGAATAGTCACCACAAGAGCACAGCTGATTTTTCTGGTTTTAAAATCAGCTTGGTCATTTTCTTGGTAAAAAAGTTCATGTATTCGACAGAAATTAGTAATTTAGATCAGCACAATCTGTCGGTGGCTCACATCAACTACGACAATTTGATTTTAAAACTGGCGACAACTTTGATAAGTAGAATTTATGTTGTTATATGTTACTGCAGTTGCATTTTTTTATAGCAGGAAATAAGTTAAATTTAACCATAAGACTTAATTATAAGCTAGTTAATTAAAATGAAAAACAAGTATTATACAAAAATTTTTAGGTTTGAAATTTTGTGGTATTCATAAAAAGGTGTTATATGAATTAGCAGTTTTATTACAAGGCTTAACCATACTCCCTTATAGATTTTTCATTCTTTTGTATCTGATGAAGACGACTTCATGGTATGTTCGGAAAACAGCTGTCTGCCACCTGCCTAATCAAATGGGTTCCTGTACTACTGTACGGTAATAAACTTACAAATCATGTTTAAATAAATAATTTTCCCCAATCATAAATTTTACTTTTTTGCACCTAACTTAATTCCATAAAATCATGAATAAAGTTTGGTACCTAATAACTAGTCTAATATTCTGATGGCAGTAAGTGGTTTACAAACAAAAACATAACCTCTCAGAGACATAATGTGTAGTGATTGATAAGTCCTTAAATCGGTGGGAACATATTACCGATTTTGACAGTTTTTCTATTGTTAGGTTAGTTTAGGGCAGAGTTTAGGGTAATAATGGCAAAAATATTGTATGTCACTCAAAATATGTATACCGGAATTGTTTGGTACTACCGCACTTGACTTTGTCTCCCGCAGAAACTACCACTCTTGTCTGGTAAACACCTATCTTCCAGACTAGTTACGTGATGTACTATAAAGAGTATAATTTATTTGTGAAATCTAGTTCGTCTTCTCGTTTTATTACTCAAAGAGAAAAGCGTGTGTTTGAATTCCAGCAGAGTAGAGAAACATATAGTGTACATCAATGCACTAAAATGTAGCCGTACATGAAATACATCAAAACTACTTTTAGATTTTATAATAGGATGAAAATTCTACTTCTATAGTTCGGCCGCTTAGAAAACGACCTGCGCGCTAATGCTAAACCAATGCTGGAGGAGGTCGCTTTCTAAGCGGCCGAACTATAGTATCCAAAGTCATTGGTTTTATAAAACTATTGGTGTTTGTAAGATAATGTATCTTTGTTTTAGTTTCATTGCTACTCTCTAGGAAAAAAAACATCATCCTTTTTTTTATAAATAAATAACCCAATTTTTTGTCCATATTTCAGACTTAATATTGATTTATTGAGTTCCAAACTCGGGATGAAAAATTAAATAAAAAAATGATTGGTATAAACTGCTCAAGGTCAAAGACTGCTTTAATCTTGTGTGATTCCCAAAACTGTGTTAATTTACAATGCCGATAATGTATGGAATTTAAAAGTATTAACAATCAATTATTATTTCTTAGTGTTTAAAGCTATAGAAAGGATTGTGCCAAACAGACATGCTGATAAGGTTGGCAATGAAATGTTTATCTTTATGAAACATGTATAATAAAGGAGTAAGATGAATCAAAATGATGATAAAACCCCTGAATTTAAGAATGTACACAGTATTCTATATTCATCATAATGTGTAAAGATTTAGCATTTATTTGTAATTATTTAAGTGCAGTATTTATTAATGTAGGTGTTGTTAATCTTTCACTTAATTAGTGTACTTCTGTATATTTCCTGAAATATGTCTTTTGTTATAATTTTTTTTTACATGTATCAAACAAATTACAGCATTAATTATATAAAGCATCGACCACAAAGTTCTGTCACAGACATGTGGACTCCTTATGAGTTGCCATTAGATGGGACCGAACCTCCGATTTACGTTGCTGTCCCCTGGCCGAGAGACGTCTTAGACTGTTCTGCCAAAGATCAAACTAACAACACTAAATGAAGATGAGTCCACTACACAGAGCATAGAATAAATATAGAGGCGGCACTTGCGGTCTGGAGTGAAGCAGGCTTCTCGTACCAAGATGGCGGCCGGCCCTGTCTGCATTTTCATTTAAACCATTGTATTGTTACCATAGAAACCACTAATCATTATTTACTTTTAAAACTCTCACCTCAGAACTTTGAAAGCCCGCGGGGCAGAGTCCTAGGTCAATATCGAAGGGGGGATAGTTCTATATGTATCATCGGAGCGGTAGCTTCATCTAATGCATAAAGTAGCATAGAATAACACAGTGGTAATGACGCTGTGTTTTCAAAGTTCCGAGCCCGTCTCTCTTACCAAGATGGCGGAAATCGGCTTCACACTACTGGTATAGCTGTAGGTATAGGAGTGGCGACTCTATATTTATTCTATGCTCTGTGGTCCACTATCTTTAGTGGTCAAAAATTTATTCAATAGTCAATACTGAAGTGTTAATTTTGATTACAATAGAACCTCGATAAACAAGTCATTCTCGATATAAGTGTCATTTTCAAACAATCTTAAATTCTAGATTACCCCTAATTACATGTCCTTACAGACTTAAATAAGAAGTACAACCTTGATTGCAAGTCTTATTTATTTCGATGAGAGAGGTTATCGAGGTTCTACTGTATGATAACCATTAATTTACATTAATAAGTAAACTTATGTAGCCTAACCCTCGTATTTGCTAACTAAAAGTGTTATGTAGCTTTTCATCCTATTTTACCCCTCCTAAAATTGATAAACAAAAATCTTATAAGAGTACGGTATAAGCAAAATTAGCATAAAACCTTTCAATATTTTCTTTTATGTAAATTAATATTAGTATTTATTTACATACTGTAAGTTATTTTCGCCTTAGTTGGAAGCATTTTTATTTCATCTTTGTAATTGTAAGACTAAGTGTTCTCAATATTTTTGTTATAGTAACATAATAAAGTGTATGTAGTTTTTAAACTGTACTTTATTTATTCCTCATCAATTATTTCATACAAACCCCAACACAAATTTGTGACACATTGTCCGGTGTCATATTATCACATATGACACATGCTCGCCACCGCGCTGCATCGCCTTGTATCTTAGTGATGTGAAGTAAATAACCAATGGTGTTTCACAAACTTGTAAATAGTGACATTTATGTTTTAATATCAAACTATAGACACTGAAGATGCCTCAATAGACCAAAATGTACATAAGTGACTAAAAGAAAAACATCATCAAGAACAAAAGGAGAAACCCAAATAAATACCCCCGCTGCAGCAAACCTGCAGACTAAGCGAATTTCCATTTTCCTTATTGGATTTACACTAAAATATCACCTTAAAAATATGTCATTTATTCCTTTTTTAAATATAATAATTAGTTTAACGAGTACGTAGGTTTGCTGCAACAGAGAGGGTAAAAAAGTGTTTTTTTTGTTAAATTTTTATAGTTTAGTAAGGAATAAATGCGTTTTCCAAATTTGATCAAAATATATTCATAAACAAGCAAACTACAATAGTTTACTTATTCTACATAAGAACAACATCGGAATTTTAAAATTATAGTATTTTGGAATTTTCTCTCTAACCATTAGGTGCATTATAACGCTTCAATATACTAAATTATTTGTTTTTAAGCTCTACAAAATGGTTTGGAAGGAAATCACTAATTTTTTTGTTTTTAGGGTCAAAAATAGGGAAAAACAAATTTTTACCTCATAAACCCCCGTTCCAATAAATGTAGGATTATACCAAATTTCATCAACGGGTCGTGTTTACTCGAGTTTGCTAACGGACACATATGTACTGTATCATCTTATTACACATCTTGTCTTGCACGAGTTTTTGTCACTTTCCATCAGATAAATTAGTTGGGTAGCTGGATGGTGCTCGCACAACAATTGAAAGCTCACTTATCCAAAATTGTGTTTGATGGGTTAAAACTAGGTAGCTGCCTTTAATTATTAGGCTTTCTGGAAATATTATATTACATTAGATGTCTACGATGCCGGCTTACTAGGGTTGTAGTAAAGCAATGACAAGCGTAATGAATGAAATGGCAGCTTTCTTACTGATAACTTTCAGATGGTTCTTAACCCAGGCCATTTATTAAAAGGTAGTAATTAGGCACAGATAAGGCCAAATTTGAATCCATACAAAAAATCTGAATTCTCAGGATCGAACTGGCAACCTTCTCTATTACCAGATCACACTTTATCTACTCAGCTATGTAGCTATAGCCTGTGTACAAAAAAATCTTAGTCAAAGACAGTTAAAACAAGGCTTCTTCCAACCGAATCCTCCACTCATAATCTAAATTACGAGATCGAGATTTGGGCTATCACGCAGACACATTCAAGACAGATTTTCGCGGGAACCCGTTGCGTGGGTGTACAGGAAACTAGGTTCGTCGCTTCCCCGCGGCGGCGGCAGAGCGCAGCACGTTCATTCAAAGTGGACGTTTGCGCGCGCAGAGATCAATACACCCTCTGACGTCACTATGGAGGAGCGCCCCCATTGGCCGACACAGTCGCAGTCCAGCTCGTCGGTGAATGGGTCCGTGTCGGTGGCGAAATGTCCGCGGGTTTTCGCTGTTGCGGTTGACGTTAGCGGTCGCGCGATGATGTAGCGAGATGCCTAGGGCTCGCCATGTGTCACGGCGATTGTGTGCCGACCGCGTGTAGTGCCGTAGACCGTGCTACGATGGCCTCGGACCCAGCACTGCCCGACTTGTCGCACCTCACACCCGAGGAAAGGCAGATCATCGAGAACGTTATGCTGCGGCAGAAACAGGAGGAGGAGCGCGAGCTGGAGATCATGAGGTGGGTCGTAACTACCAACATTACCAGCACCACTACCAGCCACCCCACCTATACCACTACCGGCCTACCAGCGGTACCCGCAGATCGATTCGCCTGCAATCGTTTACTTATTTACCAAATTAAACCTTTACCCTAAAACAATTGACCCTGTTTAAGAGGGCCTCTTGAAACCACAAAGAAACATTGACTTCACACCCCATCCAATAGCGTTACATCATCTATTCATCTATTGATTTAGTTTCACACCAAGAACAATTGTCGAATTACCGTCTCAATTATGCAATTTTACGTAAATTGGCTTGTCTCTGAAATAGGCTCTAAGGCCCCTAATAACGCACGGTCGCTATAAATCTTTAATGAAACCACCATGACCCACATTTCTCAGCCTTGGGAAGAGAAAGACTATGCTGTTAATGCTGTTATGTAAATAGTTTTTTGTTTTAATTCCTTATATCCAACGTTCACTTTTTATGTCAACTACGTAACCCTGTATAGTTCATTCTTACCTTTTAATTTTTGAACAGTTTTGTTAAGTGCCCAATTGATTTCTAAAATACAATCATTAGATATGAAATCCTATTAAACTGTGCACAACCGCTTTACAACGATATTAAGAGTGATTATAACACAAGACACTGTTTTGTGGTCTTTGACAGTCGCAAGGCGTTACTTAGTCAATATGGCTACAGACGTGTGGTGCGGGACTAGCATATCTAACTATTGGAAGGCGCTTTATACCGTTTACTAAACAGTCGGATAAATGTTAAAGAATAGTTGTGGTAATTTATTGTTTATTTTACATGTTTGATTACCATATTGCTTACCATAAAGGATTCTTAAAGTCTTTGTATTGTTCATTAAACTTTCCATTTTAAGCATTTCCAGTTCAAACACAACAGTGATTACTGTGTTGTAGTCAGTTTAGTAAAGAAATTTAAGCTGTTGAGACAACATGACAGGTTATGTGGAACTGTTAATAAACAGAGAAAGAAACACATTTTATTCATTTAACACCCCCCCTTGAATCAAACGGAAATCCCCTTCTCCAGATTCAACATATTGGAACATACTCTCCAGATTGAAAAATACTCAGTTTCAATCATAATCGTTAGAGGTATATTGTGAAAATACATGTTTTCCGTTTTTATGGCTATTTATGGGAAACCGTCATTTAAAAATCAAAATTTCAAAAACAAACCAAAAACACTTTAATAAACCATGGAACAGTGTGTGTGGAACAGTGTGTGTTTTAATGTGCTGATGTACCCACACCAAATTTCATCAAAATCGGGCCACAGTTTTAGTCTGTAGCTATATGAACACATCTACACAAACACACACTCACACATACAAACACACAGATATATCACTTCGAAAACCACTTTTTGGTTTCAGGGAAACCCGAAACGGATATTTCCTCCTTAAACTCAAAACTCTAACATTTTGACGACAACAACTGTTCTCCGTATAGGTACTTTGTATATGAGGAGAAATTAATAGTGTTTTAACTGCAAATAACCAGCTGATCATAGCCATTGACCTCGTAGTAATCTTATCTATTCAACACTCATGCTTCACTTATTTTCACATCCTAGTGTGTGGGTGTCGTATAGATCTAATCAAATCGTAGTACTACTTCCCCACGAATATTAGAACAGAAACGGCAAGGATCATAAACAAATGACGTGACTGACCCACCCGATTGTCTATACTAGCCGTAACAGCTGGTCTGCAAGGTTTTTTGACAGTTCTATTAAAATATTAATAACAAGATCCCCGTCCGTAGAGCGGGTACACAGCTAGTTGCAAATAAATAAATAACAGCTGATTAGAATGCAGACGATTCAAGCGGGGGGGGGGGGGGTCGTGCTGGGGTCCCCCATGCTTTTCTTATGGTGGATATTTTACGTTATATCTCGTTTTCTGGTAACTTTATGGGAATTCTGCTATTTCCCCCGAGTCAATGGGATCAAGACGTTTAATTTAAGACCCCACCCACTTTCCTGCGACTTGCCAGACGTCAACAATTTTCTGGTAAAAATGTTGTCCTACATAATTATATATAAGGATGTCATGTTTACTTTCGTGCCAGTGACATCAATTTTTTATGTTTTTGGTCCATACTGGTTCTGTTCTCATATTAGTGATACCTACTTCTACTTCCTAAACATTTTCGACGCTTAAGTAAATTTAATATTGTCTCCAACACTTAAATCTTCCTGGGTAGGCCTAATTTAATTTCATTTTGTGCTAAATGCTAATGAATGTACTCCAAAATTCATTTTTTTATTTATCCTGTGCCACCTAGTACATTTTCCGAGTTCGCCGCATCTGACAACACGCATTTTTCAATCCGTTTTCCGTTTGCATTAGTTGGAACAACCGTCTGTTCTACTTCTCTGTACGGTACTCTTTTGTAACACCTCAAAATAAACTTGAAATCAAATTTAAAATGTATTTGGGAGGTGAAGTTATGACCAGTCATCTCTACCACTTAACCTCCAAAACAAGTTATTAATTTTAATAATCGTAGTAATAATTCAATTTAATAAATTTGTATAATTTTGAGCAAAATTATGGTTAACGTCATTGGAGCATTATTTCGGTACTGTTAAACTTATTCATTTGACTCAAGTAATCTTACCAACATCAAAGCAATAAATCTAACACAACAAACAGTCCATGAATGAAGACAATTAACCGTTCAATCCGAGCTACGCACTACGCACTAAAACTACAAAAGTTTGTTAATAATTTATTTAAATGGGTTACAATAGAGAATCGGCACTCTAAGCTGTAGAATTTGAAATCGTGGAAAACAAATGTTATTCATGAATGCTGTAACACAATTTTTAAACCATTTACTTCTTTAAAAACACGTAAAGGTATTCAAGTTGAGCATTATGTCATCTTTTTCTCAATCTGGATACCGGTTGGCCTGGTAACGTCCTGTCATTTTGATCAATTTTTATAATATTAATTTGAAATTTCAAATGCCAATGTAACTTGTTTGATCGAGACTAGAACTTTGGTTTCTTGAAAGAAGTGAGGTATTACTTGTATTTGTGTTTAGTTCATAACATCATTGGAATGGAATTTGGATAAATTAGTGGACATTCCACTTCTATGGAACATTTTAAATGAGCTATAGCACAGTTGAGTAAGTCTCCCATAAAGGTCGCTAGTCGCTACCATTAAAATTATATTTTCCCTTAACTTTCTTGCCTAACATACCAAGAAAGTTGAGGTTGTATTCTAAAATCAACGAACATAAAATACATATAGGTGTCTTGCGAAAATAAAATGGCCACGTGACATTTGTTTACAAGATATTTTGTTTGGATTAAAATTGTCAGATTTTGTGTTTATCATATTTGGAGAAAACGACAGCAACTAAGTTTAAAATCTATCCGTTAAATTGGCTCATTGGAACAAAATCAAAACTGTAGGCCTATAAAAAATAAATTATTGATGTATAAAACAATATTAATACCAATATGGACATACGGAGTGCAACTTTAGGGATTGGCTAGTACCTCAATATAGATATTATCTGGCCAATCGAAAATGCTGAGGAACTTCATGTAATACCTTAAGATACCCACAGTCAAGGACAAAATCATGACCTTAAGTGAAATATGTTTCAAAATTAGAAACCCATCCAAATAATTTAGCATTTGAACTTGCTCAATAACGCAGACACGATTTAAAGACTTGAGACGCTCGGATTCTCGACCGACCCTTCATATTTTTGTATTGCAAAGTGGTTCATTGAAGATTATTTGTTTGTCGACAGTGTTAACAGTTATTTGTAATACTCAAACGATACAAAAAAAGTTATTGTATTGCATAGCTTTTTCTTGTTCATATTAATTTGTAGAACAGATTGTAAAGTAAACAAATAAAACAAAATGTGTTTATGAAGGATGTGCCGTTGTGGAAAGCGGCTGAAGGGAGCCTTTCGGGATGAAGATGATGACGTCATTGTTTCTCGAGACTCGCGTAATCAAATTCGTCTGCTTCTTTCTTTGCCGGCGTGTGATGTCCAGCCATCGGTTTTCGTGGCGTAGTGGATATAGTACTAGGCTGATGTGCAAGAAGTATCAAAATCGAATCCCATCGGTGACAATTAACTTTTTGTCAAAGATTTTGCTTAGAATGCCATTTCTTCTTAACTGTACAGCTTTTGTCAGAATTTGAGGCATTTATAATTTTTTTATTTATGAACAGAATTCAACCTCCATTAGATTTTTTCATTATCAGCAAGTTTGGTTTGTTATGTTAGGTTATGACGTAACTGCCGGTGTGATGACGTCATTGTTTCATATTGCTTCATCCCGAGAGGCCCCCTTCAGCTGTTCTTCTGCTGTTCATGAAAAATGCAAACTTGTAAACCAACCGCTGTTCCGGATTAAATCAGGATTTTACAAATAACAAGATCCCTGTGGGTAGATCGGGTTTCGAGTCACCTCAGGGGTAATGAAGTTTTTATCGAGAAATTTCACATTTTAAAATCAGTTTAATACGAGTTCCATGCAATATAGGGGTAATTGCATGGAGCGAATTGAGCTGCGTAGCTTTGTAGCTGACTTGACCAGCTGTTAATTTAGCCAGGGACATTATTTAAAACCCCAATGATAAAGGACAGCCAGATTCGAACCATCAAAAAGCTGTTGAACTTTTTCAGGGTCGAACGGTGACCTTTGGATTGTTAGACGCTCACCTACCAAGGACAAATTTGAAGTTCTTACTTCACTACCTAATTGGTTTTCAAAAGACCGCCCGTTATTTAATCGAGCTAAATCATCCGCTCCTTTTTAAATTGATCTTTAAAGTATTTTTACGAAAACATGGCGTTTCTGTTTAATTTTGTACATATGTTTGTTATTACGCTCAAAAATTATTATAGTCGCTTTAAAACATCTTATTTTCTTCATCCGCATTGATTTATCCAAAATTATATCAGTTTTACAACAATTAAATTTTCAAGCGAACAACCG